ATTTAGTCCCCCCCTAGTTTAATCTTATATGCAAAGAGCAGACCTTTGAACCATTTTCAGAATCCCACCCCTGGAAATCTAAAATGCTTTCCCTTCCTAGCACAGTTTATTGAAACAAACTTGTTTGTATGTTTCACTACAATTGGATTATCCTAACATATCCTGCTGATCCATACAAATTCCAATCATTTTCAAATATCATCTTACTTTGTTTCCTGTATGAGGTTTTATTTATAGGATTTATTTCCCAAATGTTCAGATTTCAATCGCTTCCTCACAGGAAGGAATCTGGTAAATGGATTTGAAAGACTTATAGGGTCACAGATTTGGAGAACAAATATTTCCTCTCAACATTATCTTGCACACTAACATGTCTTCAAAAGCAGCAACTCAGTGCTCTATTTTAAAGACACTAACAATGTGGAACAAGCTCTTTTCAGGCTATATATTACCTCTTTCGTATATACATCTTCTCCAGTTTTTATATCATGATGTAATCTGACCTCATAATTGTGTCATTCTCTGTCCTTACAGCACAGTAACACTGTGCTGGCCATTCACAAGGGCCACTGAATTTACGGTGGCAGTAGCAGGTCAGGTACTTTACAGATTGTCTGTGTATCTTACAAATAAAAACAAAAAAATCAAGATTATAAAGTAGGGTGGAACACAATGTTTGTCTTTTTACGGTGTCCCCCCTCTTCGTTTTTCTTGGATAAACGTACATGTAAGCCTTCAATCTAGTTACAAAACAGAGTGTTTTGGAGTATTGCCAGTTTAGTCCATTGACTTCAGGGGAAATAAATGTGCTGCGCCCCACAAGCTGGGTTGAAAATTGTGCCTTACATTGTGGAACAAATAAAATAATTATATGATGGACAAAATGTCTGGGAGTTAGAGATGTAGATTTTTTTTGTCTCTAGTAACTCCCCCACCCTGATACAGTTTCTCTCTGGCAGTAACTTCAGCCACCTTGTTGCCACCTTTTAGCTGAAAGGAGGGATATAAATTTTGTAAATAAAACAGATGCATTTAATTATCAATTTTCCTTCTGAGAAATGGAGATGGTTGACCAATGTCAGCAAGAGTGAACAGTATTCAAGCCTGACCCCAACCATTGGCCAGAGGATGAACAAGGGCTGGGAGCAACTTTCTCTTCACTTGCAGCAAAGAACTCTATCGTTGTTGACTGTTGCCTTGTGGAAGGGGGACAGAGATTTGTTTGGGATTGCAGAACCTCTTTCCTTGATTTAAGGCCACACAACGCCCCTCTTTCAGCACAGGGATCATGTAGGCTGCGAACCATAAAGGGAATAATAGTGACCTGCCATAAGTGCCATTATGAAACTACCCATGCCTTCGGTTTTCTTACCACTACCCTCTGATTGCCTAGACCAGCTGTTTTTCCAGGGCACGAATAAGCAGCGGAGTGAGTATTCAGAAACACTGTGAGTGGAGCTGGGCCCCATTATTTATTCACAGCACATTTTCTTCAATGTGTTTTTTTAAAAAATCATCATCTACATATGATATCCTATGCCTTGGGTAAACTTACGCACAAGTTATCTCGGTATACTCTAAAGTTCAGCAGATTTGAGCAGAGCTGGATCAGTGAATGGGATCAATTCCAGGCCTTATCAGTGAGACAAAAGATATTGTCTAAAACTAACATAAGTAAATGCTGGGGAATGAGTGATTGCACCTAAAAGATAAAGGTCGATGGAAAATATCTTGAAAAGCCATCAGAAGACAAGTAAGAGCAACAGAGGTACTTGGGAATATGGTTAATATACTGAAAAAGGTCATTACGAAGTGCATACCCATCCCTACCAAAAGACAGATTGGGGCAATATTAGTACTATCAACAGAAAATTATCAACAGGAATGCATATGCTTATTTGTGGCCTAATATCTAACTAGGGTTGCCAGGTCCCTCCTGGCAAGTGGTGGGGGGATGAGGGGGACTTATTGGGAGCAGCAGATTTGATGAACAAATATTTCCTCTCAACATTATCTTGCACAGTGCTAGAGTACATGCTTTGCATACAGAAGGTCCCAGGTTCCATCCCCAGCATCTCCAGTTAAAAGGATGAGTTTGCAGCCGACCTGAAAGCCATTGTCAGAGTCAATAATACTGATTTGATAGACCAATGGCCTGACTCAGTATAAGGCCAGCTGATTGGTGGCAGGGTGGCAGCATAGGACCCCTCCCCCCACTGGGGTGCCTGGCAGCCTTATATCTAACATTGTCATTTAAAGAATGCACACAAACACAAACTCTCCAGGCCAGATTGGCCCAGGATCTTTTCCCAAAGGATAACTCTACCCTCACTGTGGGGAGGCAGCCATCTGCTTCCTGTCTACTGTGTGTACTGGCAGGTGACCAGTAGGGGCTGAAGTAGGCTTGCCAAGTCCCCCCGGGGGGGCGGGGAACCCCCCGCCCCAGAGGCCCTCGGGCCTCGGGGGGAACCCCACCTCCAAAGCACATGACGTGCCCGGCATCAGCACATCACCCGGAAGTGACGCAGCCATGCCGGGCGCGCCAGGGGCGGGGCCATGGTCATCCGACGGAAAACTCTATGTTTTCCCCTCGGATAACCGCGGCCCCGCCCCCAGCGCGCCCAACGTGGCCGCATCACTTTCGGGTGATGTGGTTGTGGCGCGCGCGCTACGCACACGCGCACTCACGGACCGCGGCTGGAGTCCCCCGCTGTGCATACAGCGGGGACTTGGCAACCCTAGGCTGAAGTGTCCTTCCCATGTATACTGCAGAAGTTTGTACGTGTTTAAACCTTCTGCATTCTGTTCTGAGTGGAGATGATGCTTCCTTTCCAACATATTTGCAAACTGAACATGCTTCCTTGACCCCCCCGACCCCCCTCCCCTGGCACAGTGCTTTTCAAACTGTTCCAGGGAAGTCTAGGATTCCTTGGAAACCTCTCTGGGTCCTATAATGAGAAGATCAGTAATAGGGGACTGTGACGTCCCCTTATCTGGGGAGGTCTGGTTTTACTTTAAAATGTTCTTTATGTTTTGTTTTACTGGGTAATCCGGCTGCCACCAGGAAATTTATAAGGCTTTCCAAACCTTTATAATATAATATCTATCACTGGGTAGGTATACCGAGGGTCTAGGCTTTCATGAAGGTCTATGTGGTCTGAGGAATAGTCTTTCCAGAGCTGGTATACTTGAATGAAATAAAATTTATTTAAATAAAGCATAAATACGAGGGTAGAACAATGTAAACAGTACTGGGAATGATTTGAACAATTGCTTAGTGTCTCTCACAAGCTTCTCCTTTACTGACAGGGAGGTTTCAAGTAACTTTGTAACATAAACTCAAGGTCATGCAAGTTCACTGTTTCTCTCCTTCAGACCTCAGAATCAACTCTTTATCAACTGTCTTATTCAACTCTCAGACATAGAACTTAACAACCCACACAGGGAAGCTTCTCCTTCTCTCTCATACATAGCTTAACTGCCCTTCCCCTGACTTCATCAACTGTCATCTCTAACTGACCCTCTTGATAGACATTCAAATCCTCCACACAGCATCCATTCCAAAACCCCTCCCCCTCTCTCTCACTCACCAATCATATCACTTGCCTAATTCCAGCACTCTAGATTATCATCACAGCCATGCAAACCAAACTTTTAAAGCCACACACACACAGTTAAACATGAAATCATTACAGGGACAAACTTCCCTGAAAGACAGTTTGTTCACTATTACTGATTTGTCTCAGTAATGGGCAGTTGCAAGAGTCTGGGTTATGTTTTAGGTGTACTCTTCCCTGCTGCGGTGGCTCAAGTGGTTAAGACGCTGAACTGCAGGCTGTGGAAGGTCAGTAGTTCAGCAGTTCAAGACCCGGGTGCCGCAAGACGGGGTGAGCTCCTGTCTCTAGTTCCAGCTCCTGCCAACCTAGCAGTTCGAAAGCAAGAAATTGCAAGTAGATAAATAGGTACCACTTCGGTGGGAAGGTAACAGCGTTCCGTGCGCCTTGGTGTTTAGTCATGCCGGCCACATGACCACGGAAACATCTTCGGACAGCGCTGGCTCTTCGGCTTTGAAACGGAGATGAGCACCGCAACCCTAGAGTCGGATTCGACTGGCTTTCGAGCAAGGGAACCTTTACCTTTACCTTCCCTGCTAGTGGTCATGGGGGACCTGGCAACCCTAGTTCAGGACAGGTAATAAGCTGGGCTGATATTGTGCATGAACTGACTGTGTCTCTGGAACATCCTCCAGAATTGTGTACAAACCCTGCTCCCTGTGGCAATGCCCCCCTGAAGGTAACAAGCTAGAAAACACTGCTTCAGGCTACATATATTCAATTTAGGACTGAGCTGAAAGTTCTCTTTTGAATTTTTTGGAGGCAGCCTGGAGTTGGAACTTCTCAAGAAAGCCCCCCCCCCTTTCTGCTTGTCTGTGACGATGGTGTCATTTGTGACCGCACTCCAGACAGCTGCCTGGAAACTCATTTTTCTCCCTAAGAAGCCAGAGTGATGCCAGGAAGCATTGCCCACATCTGCATTTCGCAGGTATGGCATAATCATGAAGCCAGATCAGTGAGATCAATGCTTCTTGCCTTTAAGCAGCTATGAGAACTGGGACAAAGCCTTTACCCCTGTTTGCAGGGCTTCCTTGGAAATCTGCTGGGAAGCTCTTTCATTGCATCCTGTGAGCACAGCAGCAAAGGGAGGGAGATTTCAGCTTAAACCTACTAATTTCTCTGAAATTTTCATTATATGACTTGCTTTACAGATTTTTAAATAACTGATATAGCTTTAAACCACACATATGCACTCTCCACCCATGCAGGTTTGCAGCTACAAAACCCCAAGTGTATGTGGTCAGAGAGGGGGTGAGTGGCATTTCTCTCTAAGATCCAACATCTGAAAATAAGATTTAAGAGTCTACCAAAGAAAAGTCACATTGATCCGTCTTTTAGAGCATTTGAAGAACATGTTCATTGCCTTGGCTGTAAACAGCAGCTTACCGTGGGTTGGAATGGGAGAGAGGGTTCATCTCTTTCTGATAGTGACACCCTTGATTGATTGGCTGTGGAAGACAGGAGAAGTAGGAGTGAGAAACTGATTTTGCCAAACTTCTTTCATTATGTCTAAATGTGAATTAAAGCATTATTTTTATCTACATGGTGCCATCAAGGTATACTGGAGAGTTGTCTAAGCAAATAAGGGAAACACTTGCTCCAAGGAGCAATCTGAACTTCCAGTACTGGGGAAGGCAACTGTGCATGATTGACCAGAGCTGCTCTCCTAAAATCAGAAAAAGCGGCATGTTGGTTTTCTGTGCATGACAGGAAAACAACACCAGGGTGGCCTGATGGATGGGAGCAAAGGTTTAACTGTAATCACTTTTGGAAAGAAGCACCAGTGGTAATTTCTTGCATTATTCTCACTTTGCATTACATATGTATCAGCCCCATCCCATACAGATCTTGAAAAGATCTCCTGGTGGCTTTTCAAAATGTAAAAAGCAGCTGGGGAGGAGGGCTTAAACCAGGACTGTGGTGCAGGGAGCTTCACTGATTCACCTGCATCATTTGCTAAAAATCAGTTGGCTCCAGTGTGTTGCTGTTTTCTCTGGGGTGGGGGGCACACATGTGCGTGCACACACGCACACACACAACATCTGAGGATGGGGAAATGAAGCAGGGATTACTGTTAACTCCCTCACTCGGCACTCTGTATCCAGCCAAATTTGCTCCTATATTATTAAAAAAACCTGCCAACTATCCATGAACAGATCTTTCAATGTCATCTCTAGCTTGGATCCAGCTCTTTGCAATGCCTTCAACCGTGGACTGAATGTGCAAAAATGCCGCACGTAATTGATTTTGACTTTAATCTTTTAATTCCTATTTTTAAATATTCATAATTTTAGGAAAATGCTCTCCGACAGATTTAGAAATTAGGCATTTTTTAATATTTTAGTACTATTTACATGTCACTTGAAAGAAATTACTGCAGTCTGACAGCGAAGCAGGAGTAATAGGCAGTTCTCAAAGCCATTATATACTTTTTGGACTGACAGTCTGGAGCTGCTGCTAAACAATTTATATTTCAACAATTCCCCCTGACAGCCTAGTTATTACATTTCGATTCTTGGTAAACTATCACTGGCTATAAAATATAGTTTTCAGTACATCACTTTTAATGTTTGCATGTGAGCATCTGTTCACACATTTGCCTGAATTTTCGGCTATGTAGAGTCTGTTTTTTTGCAGATCAAAGGAGATCCCCCCCCCCAACAATGAAAACTACAAATAGCTGGACATTTAATCATCATCATATATCAGATTAAGGATTCCAAATGTAAAAGTGGTTTCAAAATCCCAAATCCGAGGGAATACCTTCAATGAAACAAAAGAATATTTTATTATTCAAGCATGTGTGAAAGAAAACCAACAGCAAAAATAAAGATAGGCAAAAAACAGCCTTCTGGTGGTGCTGTTGCCATAGATTAGACCAAGGGACAAAGAGGTTATATAAAATTAGCCAATATTTCAAAGAGAAAAAAAAGCATTGCTTTCTGGGGAGGAGTTGACCATAATCTATACGGGAAAAAATTAGCAGAGATTTGATGAGCAAGTAACACTGGGAAGAAATATGATTAGTTCAAAAGAGAAAAGATTTTTTATCATCTCACATTAAAGGAGAACACACAAAATACCTTTTTCTCTGCATCATCAAGGCAAGGGAAACTTTAATCCCCCTCCCATTTTTGAATGCAAGAATTACAATAAGCATTACTTATTAAAAGGAGAAATGATGCTGGGACATGTCCTAACTTTGCTTATCAACAGGGTTGTTACACAAGACACTGTTTTAGCAGCCCTGAAGTTGTGATAAAACACTTCTGAAAAGTCAAGTGGCAAAATGAGTAAAAATTTGCCTTTACTGATAGGAAATTCAGTAGCTCAGAAAATTTGGTAGCTCAGGAAATAACAGAAAAAATTGCAGTGCATCCATTCTAGAGTAAATATGTCATATATTACACAGAATGTGAAGCCTTCAGACGCTTTCTGCTAGATGAAGAAAAGGACTCTACATTTTCAAATTTTTCTAGGCTAGTGGTGTCAAGAATATTAGAAAGTGCGATAGTGTGATAAATTTACTATATTTTCATGTCTTATAATTTTGTTTTTACCAATCTGTACAGTTGAATAGGTTTGATTTTGATTTTGAATATCTGGAATTAGGAAAATTAATCCTTATCATCCCTTACTATTACCAGGCAAAATTCAGGTTGGTCTGAAGCATCAGAGCAAAGTTTGAGTCCAGTGGCACTTTTCAGACCAACAAAGTTTTATTCAAAGTGTAAGACCAAATTTACCCTTTGAATAAAGCTTTGTTGGTCTTAAAGGTGCCACTGGACTCAAATGTTGTTCAATTACCAGGCAAGAAAGGACTGGTTACCTTTTCAACTTGTCAGGGAATAATTTTCTGAACATTTAGAGAAAGGGCTCCAAGCTTTCCCTGCCTTGACCCAGCTAAAGAGTTCTGCATATGGAAACAAGTTTTCGTGCACATATTTACCAGTCTCAAAGCACTGCATTTGTTGTCCTTTATCTCTCCAAAGCCTATTTATCATTTTTTTTAAAAAGCTTGCAATGTGACTGCAGTAAAATTCTCTTTCTTGTGAACTGACGAGTGCAACTGATTCATCTCTTGCAAAAGTGTGGGACGGTGAGATGGGAGATGACAGGGTATAATTCCACCTCCCCATACTGTAGCCTTTGTTCTCCCTGCTTTCCCCTGCCTTGTCCGCACCTCTGCAAACAATTAAATTATAGTGTGCCAAAGAGCTGCTTGGCACACATGCTCCTATGAATAATAAAAACACCGCCCCTTGTGGAGGAGCAACAATGGAAGAGGCGGGAAGGACAGAGTCCATAGGAGGACTATCACCTGACATCCTTCAGCAAGGGCTGAATCTGGCAGCTATACCTTAATTGCAGCTGCTCATCCTTGGGCTGTCCTGACTGCCATCCTTTCCTTCCTCTTCATAGAACAACAAGCAGTGAGAGCATTAAACCTGTTGAGGAGGGATCATGACTCAGGGGCAGGGTACCTGCTTTGTATGCAGAGGATCTCAAGTCCAAGCCCCAGCATCGCCAGCTAAAAGGATCAGGGGGTAGGTGATGTGACCTGGGCCCCTGGAGGATCCTGTGACCTATTTGAGTCACAGGAAAAAATGCTCCCCTTTGCATTTGTTGAAGGATATTCATATGAACATGGCTAACAGACACCTCAGGAGCATTCACTGTCACTATAGTTTGGTCAAACTGAGGATATGGGTGAGATACTTGGTGAAATGAGCCCTATCACTTCCCTTGTGTCCCCCTTGTGACTTACAAAAGCTGCCAGAAGGATTCTGACTCAATGGAGGATTATTAACTCATTGAGGGACATCTCAGTATCTATGGCCTTAAAAGAGCAGGCTGTACCTAAACACCTGTTAAAGAAATTGTCCCTAGATGCGTCTGCTGTAAATAACTAATGAACTGTCTAAAATCTGCCATTTTCAAGGAAAGGGACAAAACTGTAGGCATTCATGGGTATGTGTATCCTCATTATTTTCAATTTAGATTGTGACAAAGCTCTAGATGGGTGGGATTGCCTCGATAAATTATCCACAACAGTTGACAGACAGGGGAGTATCTTCCTGTTTGTCCTCCTGGATCTGTCTGCGGCCTTCAATACTATCTACCAGGTATCTTTCTGGGCTTGTTAACCAAAATGGGCTTAGGAGGTACAATGGGACTATGGCTTCAGTCTTTCATGGAAGGTAGGTTAAGAACGTAAGAAGAATTCTGCTGGATTAGACCAACAGTCCTTCTAGTCCAGCATCCTGTCTCACACAGTGGCCAACCAGTTCCTCTGGATGGCCAACAACAGGACACAGAGGTCAAGCCTTCCCCTGATGTTGGCATCTGGCTTTGGGATTCAGAAGATTAATGCCTCTGAATGTGGAGGTCCTCCTCAGTCACCACAGCTGGTAGCCATTGATAGACTTATTATGAATGGGTGGAGAGGGTTGACAAAGAGAAATTTTTCTCCCTCTCCCAAAATACTAGAACTCGAGGGTGATGGGCAGTAGGTTCAAGACAGACAAAAGGAAATACTACTTTACACAGAGAATGAAGGTAGGTTCAAAATTATATTGCTGAGCAACTCTATCCTGTTTAACATCTTCATGAACTCCTTGGAAATCTGCAGCACAGTGCTATTGATAGGCTAATTGTTATTAGTTTTAAACTCATATATGCCCCAATTTCTCCCTAAATGGGAACTCAAATCAGCTTACATCAGAGGTGTCAAACTCATTTGTTATGAGGGCTGGATCTGGCATTAATATCACTTTGTGGGGCTGGGCCATATGTGCCATAAGATGTAATGCCATGTACCAGAGATATAAACTTTATAAAGGACACAGGCAAACCCAATTAACAATATTATTTTTACTCTCAAAATACAAACACACTTAAAACATTAACAGTTTTATAGTATTTCCTTACAGTATCTCCCTGATGCCTGCCTTTCCACTTTCACTGCCTGTTACACATTAGCACCGGGACAGTATACAGGGAGATAATGCACAGCCTCTGCCATCTGGCAAGAAAGGCAATGACCAGTTGCTTGTGGGCTGGAAAAGAGCCACGGACAGAAGAAGAAGAAGAGATTGGATTTATACCCCACCCTTCACTACCCAAAGGAGTCTCAGAGCGGCTTACAAACTCCTTTCCCTTCCCCTCCCCACAACAGACACAGGTGGGGCTGAGAGAGCTCTGACAGAAACTGCTCTTTTTAAAGAACAGCTGTGCCAGAACTATGGCTTGTCCAAGGTCATCCAACAGCTGCAAGTAGAGGAGTGGGGAATCAAACCCGGTTCTCCCAGATTAACATTCTGTGCACTTAACCACTACACCAAACTGGACAGGCCGGTTCTGGCCCATGGGCCATATGTTTGGCACCCCTGGCTTACATCAGAAACTTCTATTATATTCTCACAACACCCTGTGAGGTAGGTTAAGC